CGAAGCGTGCGTGAGAGCCTGCGCTGTTCCCATCAGTGGCGGCGACCCGCGCACCCATTGCCGTCCCGTCGCGAGGCAGATAACGAGCCGATGGCCTTGTTATCTGCCTCGTGGCGGCTAATCCGGTGTCTCGACACGCATCTCGCAACTTATGGCCTGTCGAGACACCAGATTTTGGCTGGGCCATCAGCGTGCCATCAGCCATCGGGTGTCTCGACAGGAGATAAGCTGCTGGGTCCTGTCGAGACACCCGATGGCTCCCATCTTATCTGCTGGGACAGCCGGCGGCCCTTCGCGCATCCCGCGTGCGCGCCCGCCGTGCGCCCGCGTCGTGTCCCGCCGTGCTGTCCGCTTCGGGCGCCCTTTTTCCCACAGCTGTCTCTGCATACCTCTGCATGGCGGCCGCTGTTCTCTCGGCCTCCCTTCCTCTCTGGCACACTCTTAGACACCTGTAGCACTTTCTGTACATAGCAAGGTAGACTGTCAGCTCAGTATACATGCAGTTTTTGCTGCTACAGGCAGTCCTGGGCACTGTTTCGCAAAAATTGAAAGATTAAATCACTCTAAATTGAAGAAATAATGCTCCTGCACCTTCCAGCAGCTGCAGGAGGCCCCCGGAGGCTTGGTTGCTCATCTATAGTACCCACAACAGCCTTTGGCTTAGCTCTGAAGGGTTTTTTCAGCTCAAAATGCGTCAAATAATCAGCAAAAATGCGCTGTGGCTGCTTAGCAGGTGGAGGCCCCAGGAAGCTGACTAAGCAGACCTTGTCGCACTCCAAACCGGGCGTGCGCACCCCTTGCATCCTGACCGTCATCATGTTCAACCCTGCTGCCTCAAACTCAGCCTCTTTGCCACCTGCAACAGCTTGTGAGCTTCTGGATGAGAGGGACGTGTTCCGCCTGATGTGAGAGACTTTGTACTGGCACAAACACTGAACTGAACCCCTGTCTGCTTGTGTAGCCACCTGCAGACAACCTGCCTGCTCCCAGTGATGAGCCTCTCGAGGCAGAGTACTCAGAGGACACAGACGAGACAGCTCTGTGGTCCAGCAATGACGAGATGATCAAAGAGATGGTCGAAGCCTGCATCCAGGACTTTGACGCACATGGCGATGACTCTAAAGTCAGCCTTGATGCTGCTGAGATTGCTCGCAACAGCATCACACAGGGTACACAGGAGGGGCACATGAGGTACGTCATTCTGCCCGGTATGTCTGCGTTTGAGCTGCTTGCTCACCTTCAACTTCAGAGTCGCAAAGCACTACATCACGTATCACAAGAAACACAACCCACAGTGGGATGAGAAGGCGATCACACCCAACACACCCAATGACATTCGTGTGTACATCCAGGAGAAATGTGGGTCAAAGAGCAATGGGTACCAGGGGTGTCGTGTACGTTGTCAGGTCACTGTTCATTGCTGCACGTGCTGACAGACTTGAACACAGTATGCCACTGCTATCTCCATCCGTGCAGCATTGACATACTGGTACAAGCATGTCAGGAAGATTGAGGATACGTCTGAGTGGCGTGTTGATCAAGCAACTGGACAATGGTGCGTGGCAATTGTTTTAGTTTTATTTTCCGCATTTTTATTTGTGCCCCGGTTCTCTCCTCCAGCTTCGGCCTTCCTACTCGCTCTCTGATTGTGGCAAAGTACATGATTGGGCTCGAGAAGACCAAAGCCAAGGCTGGAGAGATACAGCAGTCTGTGAAGGCAATGACGGTGGAGATGATGCATAGCCTTTACATGGTCTGCATTGGCAACCCAAAGCTGTCAGCAGCCCAGTGAAGCCAAGGGATTGTGCGCTACGTGAGCATGTCATGCCTTGTAATTCTGTGCACATTGATGACAGCCCTATCTTTGCAGAACGCGTACCTGATAGCATTTCTCATGATGCTTTGCGTCGAAGAGGTGACCGCACTTCGGTTTGACAATCTCAACCACATTCCCTTGAGCGATGAACACTTTGACATCACCCTCCGTCCTAGGAAGGCGACGCAGACTGGCACTCGTGGTCGTTGGCATCTTTGGGCCAATGACCAGACACCTTCCTTTGTCAAAGCGAG